CCGTGAAGGGAGCTGCCGTAAAATGAGCGCACCTGGGCGCTCTCCAGCTAAGAAAGGATCCTCCGACCCATCATCTCTTTTTAAAAAACTTTAACAGATAAAAGTATTGGATATGTTTTTATTCTTTTAGAAACATGTTTCATAATGCATTCCCCAGAACAAGAGGAAAAGAATAAGTTTACCAACTAGGAAATACGGGTTCAATCGCTGCCCAGCCCAGACAGGACAGGTATTATGTCTCCCTCTGCGTTCTGTAACGCACACGGTGAATAATTCGCTTTCGTAAACATGAGAAGTGGTTAATTCGTAATTTATGCAGTGTTAAAGATACAACTGAATTTTTCTACTGAAGCAGATAAGTACAAGAATTTCAAACAGCTCTTTACCATGAAGGCATACCTTCACATTTCAAACAATGACTGAATTATATCTCTCCTGATAACTAAGATCACAGTCCTTTGTACCACTGATTTTCAAAGGAACCCAGCAGCACAAATACGAGTGAGGCCAATAAAAATCCAAACAAACAAAAAAACTCCTGTCTCAAAAACACGTGTGAAATATGAATACGGAGGGACAGACCAAAGAAGGCGAGAAACTGCAGAGAAACCGTTGCTATCGAAGCATAAAGTTTCATCACTGTTACTTATTTGATATTTTTCCTGATATAGTACAAATAAATAAAAGCTTAATTTAGTTTGAAAAGATCTGAATTTGAAAAATGTAGTCTAAGGAGGGAGTGGGGAATGGGGGCGGAAAGAGACCTGCTTGGGGCGGGGGGGGGCCCACGGTGCCGATGACATTCTGCAGAACTGTGTGCATTTGAAACCTGCCTGGTTTGGCAAAACAATGTCGCCCCAATAAACTCAATTAAAAAATACAGATGGACATGACAGCGGTTTCATAATCTGAAATTACAAGTCCAAACACATTAATTATCTTTCAAAAGAATGAGGTTAAAGACAGAAAACAGGTCAAGTGTGCTGCCTGAAGGCATGAGACAACTGTGAATTCTCTCAAGCTGTGACTGAGAGACGTGGAGACACTGCTGTCCCCACACCCTGAGTGATGTGACCGTTCTTCTCAAAATGGGTCAGGTCACCTCAGTACCTGATAGGACTCTAACAACCTTTTTTTTTGCAATGTTCTCCTTATTTCTGAATAATTCTTGTGCCTCCCTAGTAATAAATGTCACCTCTTGGCCTATATTTAGTAACAGAAAAAAAGGTGCTTCAGTAACATCTTGAAATAATATGGCATTTGACTTATTTTTTAAATTGTGAAATGTTTACCACTGCAATGAGCCCAAACTGTACAAGCTTGTAGCAGAGAGGATATTTCACAGGTGAATGTAGAAACCCCGAATCTTCCCATCTAACAGTGACCGTCAATAGGGATAAAAATATCTGGAGGGCTTTTTCACGGTTCTCCCCTCCTTCTCTCCAGGGTGGAGGGAGTGCATTCTGGTGCTTGGAAGTGACAAAGCTCCTAACCAAGGGACAAATGTCATGGTCTCCTGGGATGTTCTTGGCCTATTTGCATATTTAATCAGCTATGCTAAAAGTTACAGCCCCCAAAGGAGTAAGGCTTTAACTACATTTCGAAAACCGAATTGCTTGTTTGAACAAACACGGGAGGGATAAGATAGAAGGCAGGGTTTAAAAGTACAACCTTAATCTTGTTACAGAATTTTCACTTATTTTGCTACAGATGGAACATATTCTTGCTTTCAGAAAAAGCTCTACACAGCTGTCACATTTGAGATGCTTTACTGCAGCGCTACCACGAACCAGGCAAAGGCACGTGGCATCACTCACTGAAATGGGTTCAGGAACACTGTGTCCAGGACGAGGGTGTTCTGATCTTTTCCTGAAAAGTGAGGGAAAATGTCCACAGCGATTCTGAGAGCAGGTTTTCTAGAAACTTCTGCCATGGATGGAAGAGGATTCGGTTTTCAAACTGTGCTCAGTGGAGCCCCAGCATTGTGTCCGTGAACCATGAAGGACAAGGTCAAGGTAAAGGGGAGAGACAAGCTGGGCCTCTCTGCACCTCCCCCATTCCTTAACCAGAGCTGCCCTTCTTTTATCTTTCTCTCTATCAATACCTGTAGATTATGTATAAATTATGATGCAGGCAGTATTTTGTTTGGAAAATGGGAGAGGGGAGGGAAGGAGAGAGAGAGAGAGAGATTTGAGAACCACTCTCATAGTTTACAATCCACTCTCTTATGTGGTGAGTCCACTATTATGTTCCACATATAAAAAGATTCCAGTTGCATTTAAAAAGATTATACAGTCAATATGTCTCAATCAAAACAGCCAAGGAAACAGCCACAATGGATGAGCTGTGCACTGTGACGGCTGCATTTAAAGTCAGGTGACACGCCAGCAGGGCCTGTGGTCGGACGTGTGGCCCTGCCCCCCTAGGGTGGCCTCGGTGGCAGTCACCGCCATCCTACCCAGTGCCGAGCCCAGCTGGCTTCACAAAGTGTGGAAGCTCCGACTCACGAAGGCACGGTGTCATCCTGGCTCTAGAGACACTATGTGAGCAGGGTTGGAATTTTTCAGAGAAATGGACGTCAGTTGCAAAGACCTCCTTGTTGTCCCTGTGCCTATTCTCACCCCCCCAAAAGATGTCTGCTCTCCTGTATCTGGTAAAGTAATCTAGTGAGGCTCATTGCAAAAGTTACCCCTGAGGAATCTGTTCAGATCAGGACACTCAGCAGGCCACAGCCCAGTGCTCCTCAATGGCTTGCGCATACTAACTAACAGCTATTAGCCACCCAGTATGAACAAATGAATGAAACTATGGTGTCCGGGGTAGGGATGGATCAGGAAGCCTGTCCCTTTTAAACATACTGGCTGAGTAAGAGAACTGGAAACTTTCTGGGACTTAGATTTTTCAATAAAACTTAGAGACTATGGCTTACCACAAACTAAAGAGGAATCAGCTATAAATTATCTTTTCCACTTGTTTCAGGTACGAGGTAGTTGTAAGCGAGACTTCTGTATTTGCAAACTTGAAATATACACAGAAGTGTCATGGATTTCCCCAGGCAAGCTGAATTTCAACATGACTCACAGTCGCCATCTGCTGGTGAAGGTTGAACATCTACTTCATTTACAGATGGAAAGTACAAGGCTTTTTAACGATAGGTATTACAATATACACACACGACCACCACCATTGTTTAACCAATAAAATTCCTATAAATGTCCTATAAGTCCTATAAATTCTAGGACATTCAGATTAAAAATGAGGCAAATTAAACATCCGACTCCAGAGTTTTCTATGGCATGCTTCACAAAGAAACAAAATTTAGTATCCAAAATCCATTTTCAAATATGTTATTGCATCACTTATCATATATTAATCCCTTCTCATTAGCATGGAGGAAAAATCTGGCTGCATTATATTCAGGCTGTGTAGAAAGGAGACAGGAGCATTTCCAAACAGGGCACATTTTTGCTTTTTTACTTATTGAAGGGTAAGAAAAGCAAGAGATTAAAAACCAGTACCATTAGTGCTTCAGGACATGTGACTTTGGTTGGAGAGACTGGAAGAGATTATGGCCATGGTCTCATAAATAAAATAGGTTTTTATTCCTCCACATCATACCCTGAGACATAATCATGTGTAGGTATGTTCAAGAGAGAGAGAGAGAGAGAGGGATTTAATGAGTTGATTAACAGAATAAGCCTCATACTATGTGTGCAGAGGTAAAATTGGGGGCGAGGCGGTTATCAGGTTGAAAGATACCTCACATACGATCACAAGTCTTCTGAGAAATAGGCAGGATGCAAAAATAAACTCAAATATAAGGGAGAGATGAGAAACCAACTGGTTTCTGCTGAAAGTGATCATTATCTACAGAGGCCACAGGAGCACAGACTCTAGAGCTACGCAGGGCAACTGTGTGCAACACAGAACCGCCCGGGGCGGAGCCAGCGGTCTCCCGGGCGGGCGGGCGTGTGGGCTGTGGAGGGCAGAAGAGCACTGTTGGCTTCTCCTCACCTGAAAGCAGGATCAGACAAACCACAGCCAACAGGAAGCTTGACTCCACGCAGTACAAACATGAACACAGTTGAAGGAAGTTATTGAATGGAAAGTTCAAGGTCAGAATGAGGATATTTGAATGGTGAAGTTCATTCATTTGAATGAACTCTGGAGCCAGAGTGAGAATCCTGGTCTGTCCTCTCACGAGCTGTGCAATCGCCCCCAAATTACATAACTTCTCTGTTGCCCGATTTCTTCATCCATAAAACTGAATTAATGGTGCCTACCTCAAAGGGATGTTGTGGTAGGCAGTTTTTTAAATCTACTTAATAAGTTAATAGATTCAGCTGCTACAGATAGCACCTGGTGCCCCGTAAGTACTATGTAAAAATGTTTGCTATTCTTGGTCAAGGAAGCAAGATTTCCTGGTATTTATACAGCACCTATCATACTGTGTCCATCATTTTGGGGGTGAATAGCCTTGGTCTCTTGGGGAGTAAAATGAGGATATTTTTAGTTGTGAAAAATTTGATGGGTGCATAATTTCTGACTGCTGCATTCCTCATTGTTAGCTACAGGGGCACATAAGCAATATATTCATTCTATTCTTTCGAATGACACATTATACACCTTCCCTAATGATAGGTACATGTGCACTGTAGTGTGGCTGCCACGTCTGTGTGTGTGTGGAGGGGGGCACGTGGGTCTCCGGTGGCGCAGAGGCAACGGAGTCTATGCAAGGGCAGGGGGATCGCTAGGCTAAACTAACTTCTAGTTGGAGCTCCAAAACTGACATGAGTAAAGATCCATATGCAGTCATTCCAGAGACTTTTCAGCAAAAACATTAAGTGGTATTAAGATTTGTCAGTGCTTAGACCAGAGGAGGTCCAACAGTAAGTGGTACGTCAAGACAGTTTGATTTCTATCTTATTGGCCCCCCGAGTGAAGGCTGCAGTTGTCTGGAAACCACACTTTCTTTATGAGCAAAACAGTCTTCCACGTACCTTTTCAATTAACTCGTAACTCTCCTCCAGTTTGAGCTGCCTGTTCTGCACAGACGTCGATGCGCGCTGATAGACCGCTCGCCACTCCTGAAAGTCGCTCTCTGAGATCTCGGCCACAGCAAAACACAAAGTTCTTAATCCTGAAAAAGGCAGTGTACACCCCCAACACCAAATCAAATTTTATTCAGAAGTCCGACACTTGCATTTTTTATGTAACAAAGTCTCATTTCGAAAACATTCATTTAATTGCAGCAACGTGCTGAAGTCTGACTCAAGTATGACAAAACCTTAGAGTAAAATGTATGTTAATGTTTCCCCAGCTTTTAAAATGGACACCCTGCTTCTAATTCCCAGCTCTTTCAATCCATCCTCCAGGCCTAGAATGACTTTTTCAAAAACCTAATTATACCAGCTTATGCCTCTGCTTGAAGTCTTCCATTTGTTCCCCCAGAATGAAGTCCAAACCCTGAAGTCTGGCTCGTTCGCCGTATACCAATTGTTTTCAGCCTTGCTCTCTGCCATTTACTTCCTGCACACCAGCGTCTTTGCATGTGCCCGTCACTTTTTCCCCATCCCACCCTCTCCAACTCCCCTCTGCTGTCTGTTTTGCACCTACTTTAAGACTCAGTCCTAAAATCACCTCTTGTAAGCACCCTCCTCTCCCTCGGACCCCCTGGGCAGAAAACCCCAAACACTGCTAAGGCGTGAATGACAGCGTTTCATTGCTTTTCTTGTGGACCTCCTGCGTTAGCTTAGCTCTCCCGAAAAGTGGGGGACCCTGCCGGGCTGTGGCAACTCCAGTGCTGAGCACAGTGGCTGGCTCACCCTACCGGCTTCATAGATGCCAGAGAAGAGACTCCGCTGAGGCCTTACTGGGAGAGCCGCCTTCCTCTTACAGGATGTGGGGTTGTGTTTGTTACTGCTCGTTACCACCAGAAATATGTAGTCATAAAAAAGTTTAAAAAATGGAGGAACCGTGACAGAAGAACCCCCACCATGAGAAACACCTGGCGGAAACATCAATGGTGATGCTTTGGGGTGGCCCGCGGCCAGCCCTGGGTGTCCATCGATTTCCTAACTCACTTGGGGGCCACCTTCCGTTGGGACAAGGAAGAGGCAGAGGCCCTCTGTCAGCCGTGACAAATATAGTTAATCAGGTTCCCGAAAAGACAAGGCCTTCGTTCAAGTTCATTTAACTCTCAGAATAACCAGGTGCTAGTGATCTGAGGTCAAAGAAAACATGCTCGGGCAACCTGTCCAAAAGGAGAAGCGAAGAGCAGAGGACATCAAGAACCAGAGGACTTGCCCACCCGAGAGAGAAAGCAGGAGGGTTGTCTATAGCCAGATCACTGAGAGAAGAACTTCAATCTTGGGGCCCACAGTAGAACATGTTTTTCTCTTTTGGAAACTTGGCTGGAAACTTCCTCTGGGGAAACTGTGGAGTAGAAGTGTTGTTCAGACCAGGGCCAGAAAAAGAAGGGGGCGGAGGTGGAGGCCATGCCGGTCTGAGTCTGTCTAAGGCCAGGCATGTCTGCGACCTCACAGCCGGAGAGGAGGGGGGCGCTCTACTCCTCGGGGACTGCGCTGCCCGCTGCGAAGGTGCGAGGCCTGCCGAGCCGTCTGCGGTTGCTCCTTAAGGAACCTGAACTCTATGGACGGGTCTCCCCACGCTCTTGCATTTCTGGAGGAAAACTGGGAGGTTATTTATGTCCTCGCTTTTCAGAGCCCAGTGCTCTGAAACATTCCTATCTTCCACAGTTTGAAAGGATCTGATCTGCGGTCAGGCGTGGTGTCACTGGCACCAGTTCCTGCCCAAGAAGACAAGAGCAAAATGTCACACGGGGGGTTTAGCCACAGCGCTGGCCACTTTCGTTAAATGCAGAGATGCAATTCTACCAATTCGCGTCTAACTGCCCCTGATGTTTCACGACCCTCGCGTCCTCCGGTCTCCTCCAGGCCCTCTGCCTACGCTGTGCGCTGCCTTCTCATAAGGATCATGCAGGTCAGTGGGGGAGAGAAGAAGGACTAAGCTTGTTTTTCAGGGATTCTTAGACCTCACATGGAAGCTGAATAACTGTTAAAATAGTTACATGGGTTTGCTTATTTCTTGTCTTTCTAATTCAGATTAGAACACCCAGGTCTTTGCCTCTTGTTCCTTTTCCTTCTGCACAGCTTGAGGTACAAAGTGAAGCATTTAAACTCTCAATAGTATTCATTCCAAAAAGTGGGCAAATTTATAGACCCTGTACCATCTAAACTGAAGGGAAAAAATATCTTAAAATAGTGAAGTACAAGAAAGTAAAATACAAATAATGGGTGGAAGTAGCATAGGGTATAATGTGAATAATCAGGAATCGTTACCTTGCTTTAGGAACCTGAGTAAAATCATAACAATGATCCCACAGGATATCAGTAATCTATGATTGTGTTAAAAATTTTACCATGCTTTATTATGATATTACACTCACCTTCTGTAGCAAACTGCTCTAGATGTTTTAGGGTGATTTCTTTGTATTTTGAGGTCTCTGCCAGTCGATCGTAAATGACAGTGTCCTGGAAAACAAACAGAAGGTATACACTCGAACTGACCTTTCTGAGTTTAATAAAGTTGAAGTTGGCAGCATAATTAGCAACAAAGTAGCATGAAAACGACAGTTTTTAGCCTTGGTTTTAAGGCATAAAATGTTTTCCCTTCACAACACTGTTTCCCTGAGTCACTAGCCAATAAGGTTTTAGTCCGACATTTTTCATCTTTGTCCTGTGAATAAATGTGTAGTTACTCCAGTGTTCAAAATCTTGTATTCTGGCAACAGCTCACCTCCCACACGCTGCAGGATCTGTCCCCAGCCCTGGAAGTTGCGCAGAAAGAGCACCTCGGGGCTCTCGGGGGGCCACGGGGAAGAACGGTCCAGCCCTCCGAGAGTTTGGGGACTGCTGGACTGAACAGAACCGAAGAGCTTGCCTGTGGCGATCCTTCGCGGAGCCTTTCAAGAGCTGCCGTGCAGGGTGGTGCATCCCTAGGGGGCCATGCACATGTGCCCACACTCATTCACCACCGGACCCCTCGGCAGGAAGGGGGTCATGACCCCGCCGTGCTGATGGGGAATAAGCTCCGAGAGGCACAGGTGTAAGTCTGCTGAGAAGACTGGTGGGCAGAGAAGGAGAGAATCTCGGACAAACCTAGTGTTGCCATAGAGCTGAATATTTCTGGTTGTGTCCCTTCAGCTTTATGACTTGATTTACTTAGCTAGCAAAAGTCCGGTTACTGGATTATCTTTGAAGTTTCTTTCAGTTTCAGCTGTACATGCCACTTATGTTTCTCTAACTTTTGCCCCTTTATAAACTGCCTATTGTCCCTTCAGCTTTTCTTTGGCTTGGGTTTAACAGTGTCGGAATTTTAGTGCTTGGCCTTCATGGTTTTATTAGACCAGGAAAAAATAAATCATTTACCTGCAATTACTTTCTCAGTGGTATTACCCACTCTGGGGTCTCTCCTCTCAGGGCTGAGATGTGGAAGCAGACTAATGGACTATGATTTAGGACCCTTGAGAGAAACAGAAAACTTAGTGACCTCAGAACAGATGGAATATTCCAGGCCCCAATTATGAATTTCTTTTCATTTTTCAGTGGTGGAATGGGAAGGGGGGGCGAAGCAAAGGAAATAATAATTTTCCCTCACGGCTCCTTCCTGAGAACGAAAGGTATAACATATGAACTCTTTTCTTCCCAGAGGTTAATGAAATTTTCAATGAAATTAAAATAGGCCATTTGAAACTAAGAACATCTTTTTAAAAATGAAAGTCATGTCAGCAGGAGGGATCAGAAGGCCAGGGAGAAGCGGCTCTGCGATGGCGGGAGACGCCGATGCTCCGAATAGGGGAGTTTTCTGCCTTCTTTACAGCGCTGGGGACCGAAGGGGGCGGACTGTGACTTGCTGCCTGAATCGCACAGCATATTTTTGAATGACACTCTCATTGTCCCTCCTTACACGTGAGAAATACACACCTACAGGCACCTTCACACCCAGAGTGGCGCTCGTTCACTCAGAGGGTTGTATCAAGTGACCGAGTGCTCGGCGCATGGTTAGGAACTAAGAGAGGTGACTTCACAGGAACTAAGGCACGTGCTCCGCAAGACCAGCCCGGGACCCACTGCGCCCATGTCTACAGGAGGAGACCCTAACTGCGTCCACGGACCCAGTGTCCTCGGCCTGGTCCAGGTGGACACAGGTGCGGGGTGGACGCTGCCAGTGCGGCCCCACACGGAGTCTAGACACTTACTTGTGTGAAGGGCTTGGAGCCACGGGATGAAAAGTCCCAGGTGAGTTTTCATTCAGAAAGTTCACCGCTGGGACCGAGGCTCCACGCCGCTCTGTCCTCGTGTACCCAGAGTGCCCTGCTCACGGTGGGCGTGCAAAATATGTGCAGAACGTGTATCTGAGGTAATTGGCAACCACCCTGCAAGTTCACGCACGTGGAATACCACGTTATACAGTGCTGCCAGAGAGGGAAGGGGCTGTGCAGAGAAATGCAAGCGCCAGCAAGGTGGTAGCAAGCAAAAAGAAAACCGTAGCGGTCCCACATGGTTACTTGGATAACCACTGCAGCTTATGCTGAGGTTACCTACATGATCCTGTTATGAATTAGCCAGTCATCATCAGGGAATCTGCTCTTGTTTTGGGGTTAAACAAGGTGAGATACACTTGGACCCCCTTGGACTGGAGCGTTTGCGAAGGCGGTAGACAGGCCTACACGTCAGCACAGACCAGCATGCTTCGGGCCTGTGCCTGGCACTCCGAGCTATCTGTACTTTGCAATGACTAATGTCAGGTACGGTCTTTTTGCATAGAGCGTTGCATTTTATTTAAGGGGGCAGTTTAAATTGGAATTTTCAGTCACTTTAAGGTCCTTAAAGCATTCAGTGTTCTAGCCAAGTTTCTAACTTCTCCTCTGGAAAGTAAATATTGGAGTAGGATTTTTATTTTCTTGAATAAATTAAATTTTTAGTTGTGTCCATGTAACTTTTCCTAAATTGGCTTCAGTTGCAGATATAAATTGTATATTATGTACTTCTCCTTTCTTTCATTTAAAAATTAACAAAGGAAGACAACCTCACTGCAGAAAATCTGGGGAAAAGCAAGAAATGGAAATCATCCAGAAACACGCATCTCTGTGCTATGTGCTAGATGAACTATCTTCTGATTCACCAATTCCACCCTCCACCCCTTCATTTCAGTCTACAGTTTATTCCACTTACTGACATTCTTCCTTAAATTTATTCACCATTTCTAATTTATCCCATAGGTAGCCCCATTCTCCCCTTTACCCAGTTTATTTTTTAGTATAAATCACTGGAGAAAAATGATCATTTCTTTATCATGTTCAGCTCTAAACACCCTTTGTCAGACTGATCCACACAGATGATTTTCAAATGGAGTGAATCTATGCTTCAGCTGTCTAGGTTCTTGCTCTCTCAGGTTGGCTCTTGCTTTCTCCCTCTCTGCTGGCATCTCAACCTAGTGGGTCTCCAGAACACCCAGCAGGGGTTGGCATGAGCTTTGCTTAGCCTTATCCCGTGACTGGGAAGCTCACTACTGTCTTAAGCTTCAAGGAAGGGAGGCTGGTTCCCACCTGCATTGCACAGGAAGTGTAGCAGGAGACCTGCTTAGACAAGCCCAGACAAGTCAGAAGGACACGGTCCTTCTGACCTTAGTGGCTGAGCCACTAAGATAAGGAGGGATGAGCAACTAAGTAACTAAGAAGTAAGAACAAAAGAACATTGTATGACCCTATCTATCAGCAGCCTGCTTCTTTGCTTCTGTAAACCTGCTTCTGCCACGTAGGCTTAGTAAAATTGCTTCCGCATGCCACACTATATAAACAAGCCTCTGGCCGAGCTCTGGACCCAGAATTTGGAGACTGCCTCCTCTAGGTCCACATGCATAAATAAAGTTCCACTCCATACACCTGAATGTGGCTGAGTTATCTTCTGTAACAGAAGCACTAGGTGCCCCCGCCTGCATTGCACAGGAAGCACTATTTGCCCCCATTGTCCCACAGAAACCAAACTCCAGCCACTCCTCCCTGATTCCAAACCCAGGGGCTGGGACTCACACCCCACTCAGCTCAAGACTTCATTTCAATGTATCACTTTGATATTCTGCTCCTATTTTGCTTTTGAGACTGGCTTTATCTTTGTTTTCTCCTTGTACTATTCTGTGATTTTGGAATAGAGGAGATACATCAAAGTGTGAACAGACTGTGCTACTAATACCTTGGTTTCTAATTGACTTGTATGACTGAAGTACTGCGTTGCACTTGTCACTTTTGACTATTCACTACGCCAGTGAATGACCTTGGACCTTCCTCCACGTTTCCATCTCCCCACCTGGATCCTCTGCTTCTCACCTTCAGTCCTCCCTTCTTTTCATGTAATATTTTCTTCATGCGAGTTCTCATCAACCCTCTGCTTTTAGTTTCCACCTATTCTTGTTGACTCCTAACTTTGTATCAGCACCCCAGATTTCCTCCCCCACGAAATCCAGGCTATCAGATGTAGCAAGTGGTATCACTCAGTAAACTCAGTTAACCAAGCAGAAATCTGATAATTTTGCCTCTCCCGCATCACCCACAGGTAATCGATACGGCGTCCTAACTCTCGGTGCTGTCCTTCCTCTCTGCACCTGTCCTGGTTCAGATCCTCGTCAGCTCTGGCCTGGACTGTCCTCAGGGGCCTCAACTGGTAACTCCATATGCGTCTCTCTTCTGCCTTATCTCACTTCCTAAACGATATCAGAACAATCCAGAAAAAGGTAAAACTTCTTGGGCACGCAAAAAAATCTATGCGCTAACTCATGCCCATCTTTCCAGCTTTGCATTCTGCTATTCTCTGCCAAAGTACATGCCGTTCTCAAATGTACCTCATTGTTTAATATATTTATGCCTTTTTAGTATTTAACCACACTTCACAGCCAATTTTAAAATGGGGGAAAACAATGCAATAAGCAAGTTAATGTGTCTAAACCATCTCTGCGGTTATTTAAAAAGGGAGTCCAATGTTTTTATTTTGTAGTCAATGCTTTAATTCCCCAAATTTCTAGGCAGAAGATTCCTTAAAATGAAGAAAGATAGAATGTGATTTGGGTATAGTATACCGGACACACAAATATCAACCATTTAAAGTGGGAGATCTTAAAGGCTTTCTTTATTCCCTTGATCACTGAACATCACCACTGAAATTGAGATGCAGATCTTTATGATACTTCTCTATTATTATAACCTCAACTTCTCTTTATACACATTTGCTTGACTAGCCTTAAGCTCCTGACAAGGCTTGGGTCTCATCTTCCTTCCTATCTCCAAAATCTGTTTCAAAGTCTGGTAGATAAAATGAACACAACCAATAAGTGTTAATTGTTTGAATTCACAACTGAAGGAATTCTAAAACTAAATTCTTGGGAAATCACAAAATAGTTCAACCAAATGCTTTACAATGAAAGCATTCCAGAATTGCATTTTAATGTTTTAAAACCAAGGCATTGAAAAGCACTCTCAACAGGAATTACATAAAAATCTTGAGCTTCTTAATAAGTTTGATTTCCAAGTTCCATGCAATTTGAAATCAATGTTGTTGATTATATTGAAAATTACAAAGTTCTAAGTTTGATAAGTTACCTGGCTAGTCTAAGTAGACTAGGTACCTGGAAAGGAGAATTCAGAAGGAAAATACTAATTTTAAGAACAATAAAAAAAAGACCCTGGTTAGTATATTTCTTATTTTTCAATGAGTGGAAACATTTTAACTAGGAAAATTAAGTTAGAATGGCATCTTACTGTTCCTGCCAATCTAATCTGCCAATATACTAAGGCGAGCCAATAGTTAAACATTCTTTTATTATTTAAAACAGTGCAAGACAAATGGTAATCACCCCATGAAGAAATTAGAGCAGTAATTGTGATCCAATTTTTCTGTGTTTCAGTGGGTATTTAAAAAATTAAATCCAAACTGGTGTGGATCACTACATTTCTAATACAATTAAAAAATATTTTCTGTATTTAAGTGTCTTCTAAGTTATTTATATAAAGTAAACCTCCAGTATTATGCATCAAAAATTAAATTATATAAATAACCTAGGCCAAACTTTTCCAAACACCAAGTTTATCCAGAAGGAATTCCACATTTCACGAGGAGAGGCCAAACACTATTACAATAAAACACCAACAAAAGTGGATGTCAGCAACTTTGCGCTAAACATCTGTGTTACATTTCCATAGCAGAATGCTGAACATACACATTATAAACCATCATAAATCAAAACTGCGAAAGACAAAAATAAAAACTTACAGCCCCTTTGCAGTAAAGTCGTAACTTCCCGGATGGAGTGCGGACGATCACCGACATTCTCTTCCTGGCGCTGAAAGGGAGAAGGTTTGCCATGAGGTGTCCTTGTACCCAAAATACGCAACTATGTGTTTGCCATGCCTCACATGTTTTAATGCTCACACTGAAAAAATAAATTGGACCAAATTATGAGCCCTCTCCTTCCACACATACAAACTCTCCCCCCGGGGGTACAGTTGGGCACCTTTTGGAGCTACTTTATGTTTCTAAGGCGCCTGGGCACCTACCATCTGGTGCCCTGGAGGAACGCTCTATAAAACCGCCACCTAGAGACCTGAGGGGTTCATACCCATCAGGGTGGAGGACAGAGCCGGCTCCATGTGCTCAGATTAAAAAAAACCCACCGAAGCAAGAATGTTTCAGGGTGCGTGGCACGTTACAGCTGTTACTAAAATCAGAAATGATGACCACCTTCAAGTTCCTGCCCCATCACACATGAAGGCAAACCCTGGCACTTTGTAACTGACTGAAACGTTCCCAGCTACTGATTTTCAATGATGGCTGGCAAGCCACCGGCATTGTGTAAAAAACCCAATCGACATCATGAAGTTAGCTAATGAGCACCAACATTTTAACATGTATTGGTGATATAAGCAATTGAGGAAAAACTGTTAGTCAAATATATGCAACATCCTTCAAAGTATTAGCAAAGAGACATCAAATACCACTGAATAGAACACACTGCACGGCACTGCATAGAGCCAGCCTCATGGAACTGAGTGTGTCAAGGCCTTCTCTCCAAAAATGAAGGGCAGAAAGGACTTCTCAAATGTCCGTGTCTATTTGCTGTGCCTTAGAACGCTCTGCTGCTGAAAAACTGAGTCAGGTCCAACGTAAGGGAGCAGGGGCCTGTCTCAGGGCACACAGCCAGGACTTTCTCTCAGGAGTGTCTAGAAATATTTCGTCTCCTCCTACCCCACCTATATTTCCATGGCACAGTCACATAGCGCACAGTGACGTTTGGCCAGTGATGGACCGCATATATGATGGTGGCCCCATAGGATTATAATGGAGCTGAACATTCCTGTCGCCCATTGAATCCAGCCTGATGCTACAGTGTATCACTCCCGTGTTTGAGGTGATGTCGGTGCAAACACACCTCCTGTGCTGCCTGTCGTATAAAAGCACAGCACGCGGGATTATGTACGGCCCACAATTCTCCATCAGGACAACAGAAGGCTACGGTACTAGTTTATGTACTTGCCACGCCGTACCTTTCATAGGTATTTCAGAGTGCACTCTTTCTACTTGCTAAAAAAGTCTGTTATAAAACACGGGAGGTGTCCCACCAGCCACAGCCTCCTCCATCCCGTGTTCACTGCGACCCTGGACCGTTCATTTTCTCTCGTGCCTGACTTCATCTTGGGCTGTTTTGTGCACCGTGGTGCCTAAGCACCCGCAGGAAGAGGAAATCGCCTGCTGAGGCATTTGCAGAGCACATCCCAGTTGTGAAGTGACCAATGGCTGTGTTAGTGCCTCTGACCTCCGACCTACTTCCAGGAAAGTAGCTGACTGGGCCCCCGTTGTCATGATGTCCGTATATTCTGTCTCAGCCCTTCTTTTTTTATTTGTTGAATTTATTGGGGTGATATTGGTTAACAAAATTATATAATTCTATCATACATCACCTCTATATTGTACTGTGTGTTCATCACCCCAAGTCTTCTTTCACCACCATTTATCCCCCATGTACACTTCCTGACTTATCCCTGCCCCCTTTCCCTCTGGTAGTCACCGCACTGTTGTCTATGAGGTTTTAGTCTTTTTCCTCTCAATTCCCTCACCTTTTCATCCAGCCTCCCTCCCTTCCTCCCTGACAGATGTCAGTCTGTACTATGCCTCTATGAGTCTGTCTGTATTTTGCTTGTTAGTTTATTTTGTTCACTAGATTCCACATATAAGTGAAATCATATTTTATTTGTCTTTATCTGACTGGCTTACTTTACTTAGCATTATACCCTCCAGGTTCCATGCTGTCTCAAGAGGTAAGGTTTTCTTTAATCTCAGCCGGTCTTGATCCATGCCTTTCTTAATCTGGCTCTGATGACATGGTCCCAAACTCATTAACTTTTTCTCTTCTCTTGGAAAAACTCCCAACTCCTGGGTGAATGGGGCCCCTTTCTGTGCTACAGTGGAGTACATGGGCATTGCTGGAGAAAAGTCACCCAGCCACAGCGATTGGTAATTACATGACAGCAATGTTGATGGCTCCACAAGGCCCAGTAACCCACTCGATTTTTCTAACAGGCTTGTTCTCCTCTCTGCAGCACTATGCACACCTTCTCCATTCTCCAAGTCTCCAGTGTACCCTCATCACTCTGGAGCCTTTGAACTTCTGCACTTCACCTTGAAGAAAGGCCCAGACAAGAAATCCCTATTCTTTCTGCAATTAAAACCTACACATTTGTCTACCACGCACCCTCCTGTGTGTCTCTTCTTGAAACGATGGAGGAAATGCTTCTTTTCCTATCAGAGACCTTCCTTTCACTTGTAGCGTGAACCTGCTCTCAACCCACTTTCTTCATAACTTCACTCCAGAAGTTACGGTGCTGTCTCCTGAATCTTCATCCTCTCCTTCTAGGAGAGATTATTCTTATCAATATTTAAACAGGGTCTTGTCTCTCCCTGCAAACCTCTCCCCAGGCAGCACCCCCTCCCCACTGAACCACATCTCCTTTCCACAGCTCAACTTTTTACAACAATTGCTATACACACTGTCTCCACCTATCCATCTCCCCCCACCCCTTCCCATTGCCTTCTCTCCTCACCACTGCACGGCATGGCTGAATCTAACGCCTGCTTGTCAGCCTCCCTCCCACCTGACTTTGCAGCAGTTTTGCACACGGAGGACCATTATCTCCCCGAAATCGTCCTCTTCTCTGGGCCCTGTGTCATTTTTCTCTACTTCTCCTACCACGAAGTGGTCTCTTTGCCAATTACTCTTTTTCTAACCAACCCTTAAAAGTTAGAGTGACTCATGGCTCAACCCTCAGCCTTTCTTGTCTCCCTCATGCTGTATTGTGAAGATTGAGTTGGGAGACCCAACTCATCTTCATGGCTTTAGGTGCCATTTTCAGGCCCATGACTACAGAACTTGTATTTCACCCAGGCCACTGTACCCAACTGCCTACCCTGACCCTCCACTTGTGTGTCTCACAGGCATCTAAAACTCAATCCAAGCATCTCATTGTCCACATCTGTGCCTATTCCTATGGCTTCCATCTGTGTAAATAGTACCTCTATCAACCCAGCCATGCACACGGAGGCGCTTACCCACCCCCTTTCTCCTTCCACATCCAATCCATCCCAAGAGCCTCTGACCTCCCTCAAGGTACGCGGATTCTATCAACTTCACTTTATTTCCACTACCATCACCCCAGTCTAAACCATTAATGTCTTTCACAGTCTGTTTTAATACCACCTTACTCATGTTTTTCACTCTCACCCTGAAGCCTGCCCCCATCACAGCACTATGAAAAAGCTTAAACTCCCGACTGTGCTATATTTTTCTCCTTGGCACGTATCACTTAACATAGAGCTTCTAAGTACAGGTTAATAAACAAACATATCCACATGCTAATTGATATCCTATTTATAATATTTTATAGATACCATACAAGGAGGCTCAGGAAAATCAGGCACTTTGACATGAACAAGAAGAGACATGGAGGGTACACTCTGGGAATACTCTGTTACAGCTGCTCATCCAAGTTCTCACGCACTTTCCCTTGAGCTGCTCAGTGCACACGAGTCAAGAAAACAATGCTTAAATAATGCATTAGACAGACCCCGTTACTTTTGATATTAACCACTGGCATGTGGTCACTCCCAACCAACACAGCAACCAAAGTTGGCAGAGAGAAGGAAAGGCCTTTTCTTTCTAGTCTGCATACACGCTTGCCCGAGGAAGGAGTGAGCTCAGGAAAAAAGGCGGGCACTTATTTCATCTGAACGGCAGCATTACTCCCTGCCCGGGGTGCATAGAAACTTTGAAGTGTCTCATGAATGGTGATGCAAACTTCAGAGACCGTCCTGTCTGCAGATGAAGACTATTCACCTGAGGAATGTAGGCCAGTCGGGAAACTGCGTAGTCATGTGGGAATAAAATGTCTAACACTCACGGGAGATAGCGCTGATTATAACAGAAGGCCTCTGTTATTTGGCTTAAAGAAATGAACTAAGTAGAACGACCTCTTTGCTTTCTGCTCTTTCCTACCAGAAAGTAACTGGTTTTATACCTAACAGAGAGATAGAGGTGGTTTCCAGAATCCCAAAGACAATCAGATATAATGAGCACATAATTGGAACGGTGGGCTCCTGACTCCGACTCATCTCCACTCCACATAAATCTTGGCCCCGCCAAGTACAACTGCGTTTCCAGATCATTAGCCGTAAGACCCCTGGTGCTGTACCCCACGGCTGGGATGCGGGCGGTCACGTTGAAAAATAGTCTCACAGTGTCTTCGGGAATCATATCCTGCAACATTCTGAAAGAGGCTGTTTCTGATTTATTTACCATGAAAATGAAAAACCGTACCAAGGATTTTAGATGAACATGTTGTCTAAATAAATTTAGTCAAATAAAAGAAAACTACTTTCTTACTTATTGAAGGGGCACCAATAACAACAGACAGAAACTTATCCCACAACGCAAATCACAGAGCAGGCATTTTACCTGGTGAACTCCAGGACGCTGAGCAACTCGTATCTTTCCTCTTGCCCCAGCTGTGAGAAAAAGGAATACATGATTACATAAAGGTGGGAATATCTTTGGCTTCTTGGAAATAAATCTTAGTCATAAAAAATTTTTGAAGATTTTGTTTATCTATTTTTAGAAGAGAGGAAGGGAGGCAGAGAGAGCACATTTAGAAGATGCGCTCAGAATGGGGACGGAACAGGTGTCCCAGACATGTGTCCTGACCAGGAATGCAACCAGCAACCTTCCGGTCAGGGCAGCCAAGGAATTTTAATGTAAAATAAATGTCAATACCAACAAGTCATCCCTTTTAGAATCACCTTTTATTGAACTTACTAACTTTCAGGTTAAGATGGAAACCTGGACATTCATGCACATTTAATTTTCACCTTTCCCAAAGCCCCACTAAAATGACAGCAAACACTTGGAAGTGCCTCGTAATGGCAGGGAAATAAGGAAAGAGACAATAGCACCAAACATTTGAAAAGAGATCAATGAGTGGAATCTTACTTAGCAGACATGGGAAGGTCAAATGCTATAGGAACCATGGAGAAGCTGAGAGCCCAGCCAATTTGCACCACACTGTCCTTACAAGGCACGAAGAAGTGAAGTAGCAGATAGCTCTGGAATTGTGAGGTGGAAGGAGGGGCCCAACATGGGGAGCACTGGGTAAGAGCTACTTGAAAAGCAGCTCTCTGCACGAGCCCTTCCGGCACATCGGTGGAAGACCGGGGGTAAAACAGAGGCTCATTTGTCTAGAAGTTGACTATTTGTCGGGCGACTACATGATATCGTTCTACTGATGCTAAATGCTGGGTCCCAGGGCCCCAACCTGCTTCGCTCCCCCCATTGTGGCAGCCACATCCTTCCAGGCAGAAATTGGAAGGTTACTCTGTGGGGAATCCAACAAGCCCAAGAAAAGCCTGAGCCCCATACATCACACCTCCCCAAACTAATCCCACTGGAACACCCCACCATGAAGCTCATTGTTGACTCCCTTGTATGGTCAGAACTGCCACATCGGCTTTCAAGTTCCTCATTCCTTTTTTAAGATTCTATTTATTCATTTTTAGAGAGAGGGGAAGGGAGGGAGAAAGGCCGGGAGAGAATCATCGATTCTCTTATTGATGATTTCTCTCGATGTTCGAGAGAAACACTGATTGGCTGCCTCTGGCATGCACCCCAACTGGGAATTGAATAAATCGAGCCACACCGATCAGAGCAAGTTCCTCATTCTTAACCAAGAGAACCCCAGAGATGAACAGACATCTAAGGAAAGCTTGTGGACGTGAAACACAGACACCCAAAACAAATGGATCAAAGCACTTCGGAGGGAAGAAAATTCAACAGCACAACTGGGGGGCGGCCCGTGGAGGTTCAGGTTCTGGGGTTCCTGATGGTCATGGCTGGGTGGGTGGCTGGGGCTGGAGAGCCAGTCCTGGAGGCCTCATCACTCGGCTTCAACATGAGACTAGTGGCCAACAGACCACTGGGGGACCACATGCTTCACAGGGGACATTTTCTGTTCTGTCATTGGAACTGCACTGTTGTGGCTTCCTGATGGCCGAAAACTGTTTGCAGTGCTTTCTTTATGCCCTTGAAAATATTGCTGCCTTAGTGAGTATATGCTTCTCAATGGGATCCATGGAGAATGTTTCAAAGAACAAGCTTTGCCTGTAACCATTCTTAAGTTTCTGCGACTGATATTTATAGCCTGTGTGTTGCTCTTTGGTGTCGTAGGAGAGGACTGGCCTTATACTCTACACTCTGGAGTTCTTGTCAAAGCCTGGTATAGTCTATCATCTACCATATACAAGGCTCATTTCTCCCAAGTAGAAAATGAGAAACTTTGAAAAAGAACATTTAAAAATCAGTGTTTAATTTTTACTGAATATGCTTTTCCCCAAATGATTATTACCACAAAAGAAAAAAAAATACCAAGCCCTGTGATAGTTTACATATACTTCTACTTCATACTCTCATGAAAACTACTGTTTAATTAAGTTGTTATATTTGTAAACTTATTATTTTTATGTAAATTTATTTTAAAATAAAAACTAAAAAAACCCAATCATTATTCCTCTCAGAGAAATAACACAGTATGACACCCATAAAACAGAAACAGAATTAGGGAATAAGAAATACTGAAAGGACACACAGGACTCTGGAAGTCAGAAACACGATGGCAGACACAACAGAGTAGGAAGACAAAGCTGAGGAAACTTCCAAAAGTAGAATGAAAGTCAAAGACCTGAAAAGTAGGAGAGAAAAGTTAAAAGATAAGTCCAAGAATCCTAAAGAGAGAACAGAGCAAAAAGAGGGAAGGGAACTGTAATCATTCAAGAAAATTTTCCAGAATGGCAGGACAGCCCATCAATTTCCAAATAGAAAGGGTTTACCCAGTGTTCAGTATATTGGGTGAAAATATTCCCACGAAGGCACACGATCATACAATTTCAAAACTCTGAGGGGAAAGAAGATCCGTCAACCTTCCAGAGAGAGGAGGGGGCGGTGGGGGGCAAGTCACAGAAGATGTGGAATCAGAATGGGTTCTTTTTTCTCAAGTAGGTGTCCTGGAAGGCAGAAGATAGTAAAGCAATCGAAACTCTTAAGGAACGTGATTTCTGCCCTGGAATTCTATTTTCAGCTAAACTATCAACTATTAAGCATAATGGTAGGGCAAAAAAGGTTTTTGAGAGGACTGGCAAATGGACCAATAAATAATTCCCCATGCATCATTTCCCAGGAAGCCACTGAAGAAAGTGCTCCACAAAACAGAGAATAAAACCAAGAACAAGGAAGACACAGGATTTGGGAAGCAGAAGATCTAACACAGGATGAAGGTCAAAGGAAGTCCCCGGGAAGATAGAACCGGGATTCCAGTGGGACCAGCATGAGGACTGCGAATTGTCAGCCAGGACACGGCAGAGCCCGGGAGTCAGGAGCTGGGTTTGCTGAGGGCATCACTACTGCGTCCTCTGCTTCTGTGACAACTTTTTAACTGGACAAAACTCACAGAACAGGTGCTCCATCCAAACGAGGGAGCTCAGGAAGAAATAAGACTTGAGGTTTAAAACAAACAAGCAGAAAAAAAAACAACAACAAAAAACAAAGACACTGAAATAGAGAACAAGGGGATAGTGACCAGAGGGGAGAAGGAAGGGAAGTTAAGGGGAAAATGGGGGAGGGATTTGGAGGAACAAATAGGAAGGACACAGGGACAAGAACTAAGGGGGGTGGAAATGGGAGGAAGGTGGGGAGCAAGGGGCGGGGGAGGCTGGGATGGGAAAAATAGACAAAAAACTGTACTTGAAAAATAACTAAATAAAATAAAAAAATATTAAAAAATTCATTCATAACAAAAATAAACTCATAAAATCACTAAAAAAAAAAAAAGACTTGAGGTTTAGACCGAGAAAATCTAAAGGAAGTTCAGACGCCATCAGAGCAGACCTTAGAATGAAACTGGCCCAGCCCAAGGAGAATGGAGAACTTCAAGAAGGATGTCTCTCAAACAGAATCGCTTACTGCAGATTATTGGATAAAGGTGTGCTGGGGGTATGGAGACAATTGCTAATAGGTAGAGTAAGTTAAGGAATTAAAAAATATACAAATTTATCTTTAAAAAATAAAAAAGAAAATTATTTTCAGGAAATAATTTTATGTCAGGAAACAAAATTAAAATAAGACAATAATCACTGAATATGAACAATGTTCAGCTATGAATATCACTACAGGCATTAATTATACAAACACTAAATAATGACTCTTTAGTGAGGTCTAATTTACATACAATAAAATACATATTCCTTACACGTACAGTTCAAGGAAAATTGGATAGCCTGACAAAGGCAGACTTGGTGAAACCTGCACCCCAATCACAAAGTACAATATTCTCATCACCCCGTAAATTCCTTTGTGCCCTTTTCCCATCAATCTCCTCCCTGACCCCGAGGCAACCACTCTTCCGAATTCTATCTCCAAGTTGCTTTGCATGATCTCAAGCTGCATCTGAATGAAATTAGAGTAGGCACTGTTCTGTGTCTGGTTTTTTGTTTGTGCCACAGAATGTTTTTGAGACATATCCATACTACTGATGAATCAATAATTCCTTCCTTTTTATCATTTAGATACTCTATTGTATGAGTATATCACAGTCTGTTTACCCATGGTCCTATTCATGGACATTCGGTTTGCTTCCAGTTTCTGGCTACTGTGAATAAAGGTGCTATGAGCATTCCATTAGATGTTTGTTTTGTGGACATAAGCTTTAATTTTTCCTGGCTAACTATGAGTACAACTGCTGGGCCAGGTGCAAGCTCACCTGTATCAGAAAACTCTCAAAGTTTTTCCAAAGGCATTAATTACACCATGTTACGTGTCTCCTAGCAATACCTGGGCGCTATACTTGCTCTATATCCTCATTAACTGGGTACAATATTTGTAATTTTAGCCCTTTTGGTGGTTTGCAGCGGTGCCTCTTAGTGATTTTAATTTGCATTTCCCTGATGACTAACACTGTTTTTCACATGATCATGGGCCACTTATATATCTTCTTTTAAGCAATGTTTGTTTAAGTCTTTCGCCCACTTTAAACACTCAGTCTGAATACTTGTTTGACAAAAAATTGTAATATAATTTTTAAAATCTTGGGAAGGGACGGTGAGTCAGGAGAGATAAACCCTCATTCCTCATTCAACATAATAAAACAGACAGTCAGCAGACCTGTCTGAAATCGAAGCATCGAAACATGTATTATTAAACACATGTATCTCTTTTGAAAATATGAGAGATATGGATGCTGGAAAAAAAGAGCTAAAGAACGGAAAGCGGTTGCTTCTGGAGAGGAGAACTGCAGTAGAGAAGTTCTATTTCATTACGAGCTGTTTGGTATTATTTTATCTTTGAAGCTCCGTGCATGTTTATTTTGATGAAAAAAGAATTGAAAATAACTTACTGAATCTATAATCACCGAGTCAGGTGTCCGTCCACTGAAAACAAAATTCAATTGCTTGGCTGCTCTGACCAAGGCTCCCTCATCTGTTTTGGGAAAGTGGGGGAAAGCAAGCACATAGTGAGATAAAATTTTTTCCAATACAAGAGAAACACATTACTATAACGTGACTTGCTGTTTAACTTTTAAAGAATAAAAATTATTTTTTTCTGGCTCCTGTTATTGAAATCCATTTTTTAAAAAATTCTATGATAATGCCAAAGGACTGAGTAGAATCATCTGAAGAACCTGAGATAGTGATAGACCCGAGCCGTGTTTCCGAAGGCGAAGTCTCACTCTTATTCACATCCAAGAAGGAAAATTTCCGTGTACCCCTTGGTCCATCGTATTTTCTAGAAAACCTTTCTCAAAATGAATGACACACAATTGCCTTCCTACATTTCATGTTTTTCCTCCTAAAATGTTCATCATAGAAAAACGAATACTGGTAATTGCGACTTCAATTTAAATGGATATAAATGAATCGACACTTTATTTTATCCTATATTAATGTCATCACCATTGACATCACACCTTGTTGCTGAGGGCAGGATGTGGGATCAGAGTGCATTCACCTAGTTGCTACCCAACGACAGGGCATGTAACCTTCTCGTACTTGTAAGGAACATGGCACACTCTACAAGGTCACGGATACTGGCTTAGAATACAGTTTAAAATATTTACAACAAAGTTCTCCAAAGTGCATTCCTTCTTTCCTAAAATCTTATAATAATTAAATTGACTATATACCCAATTTTACATTAAGAACAATCTAAAATTAAGCCTGAGATTAAATACTGCTAAGTGTAATAAATACTGCTAATAAATAATTTCATGGAATCCCTTCAAAGTGTAAACTGCCTTCATCCAAATAAACTGCAACAAGCTCTTTGATTATCATTCCCAGAAAGGAAGGTGAAGTCAGTATTCTAAAATGCATGCTGTTCAGGCAAATAGAGCTTCCTTTTCTTGTCCACCTATGGGCAAAAACAGTCTTTGACAAAGTTTTCATGGAGAACTTACTATGTGCATATAAAAAAGTAAATCTCACTTCTGTGAATTTTGTTATTCAAATTTCTAATTATGTCATCTACCAAAAATTACACACTGAGAGTTTTATATTGTAACATATAGAAACATTTAAATATGAAAACCAAGGCTTTTCTAATTAGTAAATATATTTTTTAACTAAAAAAATAAGTAGCTTTGTGAAGTGGCAGGACCGTAGCCAATGAGGTTTATCTGAGGTGCGATTGTTGCTGAGAAACATGAGTAGGTTATTTTACTTTTTAAATTAAATTGACCTTTTTTTCTTGACAATCTCAAATTTCAGAACAATCTTCCACTGAAAGACATATATCGCAATTGCTTCATTTGTACCTGGAGACGCTGCTTGATAAATAATCTTATCGCCTTCTCGCTCTGGTACCGCCGTGTGACAGATTGCCATCATTGTCAGAAATTCACATATGACAGGTGCGGTTGGCTGTAGGAAATAAACATATGCTAGGCCTCTCCATTTCAACATTTTGACACTAATAAAAGCAATATTATTTCACGTCTATCAAGAGTGTAGCTGTTAAACATTGTGGGTGTGAGGTTAGAGCTAAGAAGACATCTATTATGAATAAAACATATTTTTAACTAAAACTTTCATTCTCATTGACTTTTAAACATTTATACAAGACAATTCTGTGTTATTCAATAGAAACAGTGCAGTGAAAAGGGCGCATATGATCAAGCACTATGCTCAGAAGACAGAAGAGAAACTCTAAAATGTTCCTTCACCTGTTCTAATTCCTGACCAGATTTAAATTTTAGGCATTTTAATCTACTGTGGTTCCCCATTTTGGGTTGGGGTGATGATGGCAGGGGATTTCCTCTGTAATGCCTGGTCCTCCCTCTCTCCAGAAACATCGACCTTAACCTGACTTCTTTTACCAAATAAAGAAAGGATTGAGCAATTCCTACGCACAATGGGCTCATGTGGCCAGAGGGAGACATAAAAGCGAATTCGTTCTGTGAGGAGCTTCCAGTGTACAAGAGAAAAGAAGACAGAGCTCTTAAATTCAACACCTGCCTGTCTGACTTCTGATGAAGAAAAATGTCATTCAAGTTATAAAGAAAAATATTTCTCTATGCTGTTGGACAAAATACAAAGCAAAACAAAAAAGAAGTGACTGCAAAACTAAATCAAACACTATTTGAGAAAACTGCGTTCAGGCTACAGGTGTAGACCAAGGAGACACGACCCCCTACCTCATGAAACTTCGACTGGGGGAAAACAGAGCACAGATAAACATACAAGTATTGTCCGTTTATGGAGTGAAAAGGGGCTACAAAGAAGAGAATGTGCCAATACACGAAATGTGACTTGGGTGAGTCCGTGGTGGTTTTCACGATAATGTTATATTTAAGCTGATGAGGTTTTAGCCTCATGAGAAACTGAGCATTGTTTCCCATCAGGCAGAAACCAAAGATGACTGGAAAGATCTTAAAGAAGGAAATAAAGAAGTGTGTTTGAGAGCATGAAGGAAGGCTAATGTGAGGAGAAATGAGGGAAGAGTGGCTCCGAGTGAGGGTGGTGACTTAGGCTGGGGCCAGACTGTGCAACTTCGCAAGTTCAGAGCGAAGCCAGGGAATGGCTTACAACAGGGCAGTGATGGGACTTGATTTCCACTTGCGTCAGCGCGGTTGCCTTGTGCAGCAAGAATCAGAAGGGAGTAGAGAGGGAAACTCGGAGAATGGTCAGGAGGCACTACGGCAATTTGTGCAGGGGAGGCTGGTTGTCTGCACTTGGGTAGGGAAAGTGACAACGAAGTGAGGTGACACTCAGGATGTATTCTGCAAGTCAGTATGGACAAGCACTTGGTGACGCTATTGATCTGGAGACGGAGGGACAAGGAGGTATCAAGAGCAAACTTTAAGTCCCTAGAAAGAGTGGTAATACTGGTGATGGGGTAACTTGCTAAACCTGAGAACCCAAGAGGGAAGAGGAGGTCTAGGTCTAGGTTTTATGGATCCTGCAGTGAATACATGGTGGAGGGCTCTCGTGAAAAAAGGATAACAAAACCTCCCATATGAGGAGACCGCTGGAGCTCCACCCGGGGGCCCAGGTGGGAAGTCCACCTGTCCTTCAGAGGTAGCATGTTCTGGGGGATGAGTGTGAGTTCCAGTTTTCACATATTGAGCTTGAAGCAATTGTGAGAAAAAGTTCTGGGGTTTAAACTCCAGGAAACCCTATCGATTGATCTGATGAAATTTTAATGTGTTAGTAACTTCAAAAAGATGTCCACCATTCTTACTATATAGAATTCCCTTGGCCTACCATTCTGAGGGGGTAATTCATGTCCATAGATATTTTGAAATTGTTAACAGTAAATCATTTCACACAGGGTTCTAATATCATTTAACATAAAACATTTTGAAAAAGATATAATATTGATAATATTATTAAAGCTAAATAACTAATAATCATGAATCATCGTTGACCAAGAAAAAAAATAGCAATAGAGTTTTGAGGTCCCAGAGAGTTCCAAAGAAGTTGGGCCCAAGGAAGCACAGACCAAGGCACATCATAATTACATTATACAAGATTAAATAGAAGGAGAGAATCTTAAGAGCAGCAAGAGAAAAGAAGACAGTTACCTACAAAAGAGTGCCTATAAGACCGTCACCTGATTTCTCAAAAGAAACCTTGCAGGCAAGAAGGGGCTGAAAAGTAGTCTTCAAAGCCATGAAAGGCAAGGACCTATATTCAAGGTGACTCTATCCAGCGAAGCTATCATTTAGAATGGGATTACAGATAAAATGCTTCCCCAGACAAGGTAAAGCTAAAGTTCATCATCATCAAGCCCTTATTATATGAAATGTTTTCTTTATCTAAGAAAAAGAAGAAGATCAAACACTGTGAACAGTAAAATGACAACAAACTCACAATTATCAACAACTGACCCTAAATCAAAAACAATAACAGATTAAGTAAACTACTAGAACAGGAACAGAATCACAGAAATGGAGATCACATCAAGGGTTGTCAGTGGGAGAGGGGGGAATGGTGGCAAAGCTACAGGGAATAAGAAGCATAAATGGTAGGTACAAAATAGACAGGGGGAGTTAAGAATAGTGTGGGAATGGAGAAGCCAAAGAACTTATACGTACGACCCCCAGACATGAACTAAGGGAGGATAATGTGGGAGGGAGGGAGGTGGGATGCAGGGAAGAACAGATTAGAGGGGAGAAAAATGGAACAACTGTAATAGCATAATCAATAAAATATATTAAAATAATAAAAAACCTATTAAAATAGTTATAAAACTAAAAAATAAACACAGAAGATAATTCAGAGAAATGCTCATTAGTTTTTACTCATTAGTTGGAATACAGTGATTTTATGTCACTTACATGATTATTTTGGAGATTTTCCAGCAGTGATGAATCACTAAATGTTTTTTCATCTCCAAACTGTGAGCTCTGCCTAAAAGGGAAAAAAATGGAAAAAGCCTGATTTATTTATACCAGCTCACTAATTTATTTGTAACTTTTAAAATATGTCATTATGCCTGCAACTACCTCTAATAGATTAAATGTAATTTAGATTACATTACTGAATAAGACATCACAGATTTCATGATTAAATAATAAGTGTTTTTAAGCATTGTGAAATGTGACAGACTTTTGCAGTGTAATGAAAATGGTATTTTATAGTTTATTTTCCTAGAGTGAAATTACATTATAGTCACATGAAGTTTTAAAAAATTAACTAAAAAGATATAACGAAACTGCAAAAATACCTGGAATTTCATTTCTTCTAATTCCATTATTTTTTTGTTTTAAGAATTCTGAGAATAAAGTTATTATTAAAACAATATTGATGAACACTTTTATCATTGCCTATAAGATATCTTTATTTGTAGTACCCAAGAGTACATGATTATCATATGAAATATAAAAACATGAATAAACTGTTTATAGTTTTCTCATCACTAACAAATATCTGAAATGCTTACACACATATTGCATTTGCTCTGTGTGTTGAGGAGAACAAACCATAAAAGTGTATGGGGACCGTGGTTACCTTCAGATCAGCAAATGCGTTACATGCTTCAGAAGAAACAACTGGAGTCAGAACTGCCTCTGATCAGCTATTATTAATCTCGTAGAAATGCAAGTTGATATAAAAATGTTGAGATTCAAAGGAGGAACAAAGACCATTTAAGTGGAAATATCAAACCCAAAGGGCATACTTTCCAATATTCAGTGAAAATATATCGATCTAAGCTTTTGTGCACTGAAGCAAATTTCAGAATTAGTTCGCTGAGGGGGAAAATAGGTTTGATATTAAATGATTGTAATCCAGAAAGGTTGTAACCACAACTTTTATAGGTTACAAAGAGCATCAGCAATGCCACTGTGCCACATATTAGGACTTTCATATTTGAAAGCCAGCAGTCTAAAAGGAAGGAAAAATCACTGAAGAAAAAAGGAATTTGAAATAATTGAATGTACCCTATAATCTTGATAAAATATTCTTACCATAAAACAAGGGAGTAAGTTAGATGTTTATAATAAAATGAATCTTTATTAACATGTAGTAGTTTAGAATTCTCAAAATATCCCCGAGAAGCAGAATAAACACATTATTGTTGTTATTCCTCCTTCTCCTCTAGTCTTTTTTTTTATTTTTTTAAATAAATTTATTTATTTTTTTGAATTGTTTATGCTGTTACAGTTGTTCTATTCCCCCCTTCATTCCCCTCCACCCTGCCCCCCCAACCCCACCATTACCCCCCCTTTAGCTTATGTCCATGTGTCTCAAGTCCTTTAGGTTCTATATTTCCCATACTATTCTTGCCCCCCCCCATCTATTTTCTATCTACTGTCTATGCTACTTGTTTTCTGTACCTTCTCTCCCCGTCTCCTCCTCCCACTCCCCTGTTGCTAACCCTCCTTGAGATCTTCATTTCTATGTTTCCACTCCTGATCTAGCTGTCCTTTTAGTTTGCTTTCGTTTTAGGTGTGGTTGTTAATAACTGTGAGTTTGTTGTCCTTTCACTGTTCATGTTTCTTTAACTTCTTTTTCTTAGATAAGTCCCTTTAACATTTCATATAATAAGGGCTTGGTGATGATGAACTCCTTGAATTTGGTCTTATCTGAGAAGCACCTTATCTGTCCTTCCGTTCTAAATGAAAGTTTTGCTGGGTAGAGCAATCTTGGTTGTAGGTCTTTAGATTTCATGACTTGGAATATTTCTTTCCAGCCCCTTCTTGCCTGTAAGGTCTCTTTTGAGAAATCTGCTGACAGCCTGATGGGGACTCCTTTGTAGGTGATTGTCCCCTTAGCTTTTGCTGCTTCCAGGATTCTCTCCTTCGTTTTAATTTTGGCTAATGTAATTATGATATGCCTTAGTGTGTTTCTTCTTGAGTCCAACTTTTTTGGTACTCTCTGGGCTTCTTGGATTTCTTGGAAGTCTGTTTCCTTTGCCAGATTGGGGAAATTTTCTTTTATTATTTGTTCAAATAGTTTTTCCACTGGTGGTTGTGTCTTTCCCCCTTCTGGTACCCCTATAATTCGGATATTGGAGCGTTTATAGATGTCCTGGAGGTTCCTAAGCTTCTCCTCATTTTTCTGAATTCTTATATCTTCATTCCTTTCTGATTGATCATTTTTTTCTTCCTTCTGGTTCACTCCATTGATTTGAGTCCCAGTTTTTTTTTCATCTCTATGGGTTTCCTGTGGAATTCCATTCATTTCCCTTAATTTAGCCTTCATATGTTTCTCTAATTTGTGGCTATAGTCCACCAGATCTGTGAGGAAGCTGATGACCAGTGTTTTAAACTGTGCGTCTGAGAGATTTGCTATTTCTTCGTCACTTAGATTTATCTCCGGGGCTTTGAGGTCCCCCTGCGACATTTTTGGTCTGTTCTGGTCCTTTAAGTGAGAGAAGCGGCGCCTTGGAGTACCAGGTCGCTGGGTTGTGACGCTGTATGTGGGGGCGTGGTCAGAGCGGGGAAATGGCAATGCCGCCGCCGGTCCGACCGCTCACTCCCTCACCCACACGCAACCGGGCAACCACAGTCAACTCGCTGCCACCGCCTCCCCACTGTCTCCTCCGTAGTCGCTCACCCGGTGGGCCGCTCGGTCGCTCACTAGGTCCAATCCTGGGTTTGGAACCCGTGCGACTGGATTCGCGCGTCTGGATTCCGCGCCCAGGTCGATCGAGCCCTCCTTTGTAACTCCTCACCAGACGCCGGTTTCGCCCCTTACCGGTCGGGCCGAAGAATTTGTTGTTAGCAGACTTCCGAAAAGTTCAGTTTTCCGTGTTCTGGTTGTGTTTTCTGATGCTAATATTTAGTTGTCCCTAAACTTGGTTGTGTGAGGCGGCAAGGCACATCCACCTAAACCTCCATCTTGGCGGAAGTTCCTCTAGTCTTAAAGACGCAGAGAAAAATCCAAAAATTTTTAAAGGACATCGACAGGCGAACCAAACAATTTAGCATACATGTTTCCTCAAAACACTATCATTTCTTTTTTTTTAAATATAAATTTTATTTAGTTACTTTTCAAGTACATTTTTTTTTTATCTATTTCTCCCATCCCACCCCACCCCCCCGCCCGGTCTCCCCCCTCCCTCCCATTCCCTCCCCCCTCAGTCCTCATCTCTGTGTCTTTGATACTTGTTCCTCAAAATCCCTCCCCCTTTTTCCCCTTAAGTTCCCTTCCCTCTCCCCTCTGGTCGCTGCCCACTTGTTCTCTATTTCAGCGTCTTTGTTTTTATTCTGTTTGCTTGTTTGTTTTATTCTTTAGCTTCCTGTCAAAGGTGAGATCATTTCTTAAAAATAGTTTACTGTTTGGTGTTCCATAAAAACTTCCTATCATTAAAATGTATTCATTGATTGTTTTGAGTTATACTTTCCTACTTATTTGTTAATTAAATTGAAATGTCAAAGAATATTCACAGTAACATCTTGCCTATGGAGGTCTATTTTTCTTTTCAAAGAATTCCATATTAAAGCCATTATAAATCTCAAGATATGTTTTATTAATCTCACCAGCAATTCTTTCATTTTATATGTTACAGCTACCATAACTGATAAAACTTTCAAATGCAACAAGTAACACTAACTGTGCAACTGAAATACTGATGTGGACACACTGCATCCTCATTCAGCAAAGGCAGCTTCCACCAGGGAAGAACCGTTCTTCCAGACAGGGGCTTCCTTTCCAAGATCATAAAACTACTAATGACTCATTTGCTAATCACCTGACCTGGGCTGGTTGGATAACTCAGGCATGGAGCTCTCACCAGCCTCTCTAAAATCTTACAAAACAGTCACTCTTAGTAAAGGTAAACAGGTAAAGCTAGGAAATGCATATCATTCCAAAGAACCAACTGCATTAACAGCACACGTAACACTACCATAAACAATGAGTTGACAAAACTACATGAATTTGCAAACTGCTCACAAATAAAAACACGAGCCAACATCAACGCCTTGCTGAATTTTTCCATGGAAATTTTCAAGTGGCACTTTTGCTCACCAGGAGACAAACAAATGATGGTGCTTTGCAAGAAGCAGTGAGGCAGGGGGTGGAACATTAAGGAGGGAAAGGCCGATCAGGTAGCCCACAACATCATATAATTTGCAGCTTCCTGCAGCTTAATTTAAAAACTATGATGCATTGTAAATAATTATTTTCTGATAGTACAAAATTGATGAGTCCTCATAGCAATAAAAGGTAACATAAAATTCAGAATGCATAGGGCTTAACTGGCATTGGCTATTTTAATATATGACAGTATGGGCTATGACATTTTTTAAAATTCAAAATTTATATCAATGAGAGCGATCGGAAAAAAGAAAAAGAAGTTGGACCAACACTTTTCACCTTAAACCAAAATAAACTTCAAATGTATGAACATGCTAATAAGAGTACTAAAGATATGAAGAAATAAAAAAAACAATTCGGAGTAGAAAGTGCCTAAGGTATCACATATAATTTAGAAAAAAACACAAATGTAAACGTGCCTGCATGAAGCTAAACCATTTTTGTAAAGTAAAGTCTACTGCAAAGTCAAAAGCCAGTGACAAATTGGGAAAAGTTATTTTCACCTCACGTGTGGAAGGATACCATTTGTAAAATAAGAACTCGGAAATCAGTCCTGCTTGGTGTGGCTCAGTGGATTGAGCATCAGCCTGCAAACCAGAGGGTCACCAGTTTGATTCCCTATCAGGGCACAGGCCTGGCTTGAGGGTCAGGTCCCCAGTAAGGGGTGTGCTAGAGGCAACCGCACAGTGATGTTTCTCTCCCTCTTTTTCCCCTCCCTTCCCCTCTTCCTAAAAATAAATAAAAATAAATAAATAAATACTTAAAAAAGAACTCAAATCAATAAGAAAAGAAATCAACAATGAGCAGAACAATGAGCAGAACATGGAGAAAAGGATATATACACAGTTCATACAGAAGGGAATATA